GAAGCTCAGGTGCCAAATCTCATTTACAAGGCTTACTCCACCTGTCAGATTAGGATCTTAAACAGGTTCTGTGACATACATCATTTTTTTTCGCTCCAATATCCTTTTTATCAGTAAGTGAAAATACCAGTAGGCATCGTCTCCTGATAAGTTTTTGAAATGAAAATGAAGACAAGAACTTCAGCTCTGGAAAGAAGCAACAGGTTCAGCCTCCTCCCTCCCCATATGTCTTCGGAATTGAAATGCCTTTAATAAAGCACATGAATAACAACCGTGTAGAAAGGTGTATAAATCTGCAAGAAGAAATCCACAAGGAAACTTGTTCTGCAAGTTAGAGGATAAATCTTTATTATTAAAACCAAGTAAAATTTAGAGCCCTCATAATGCTATAAGAATTACTGTTCTTTTAATGACTATGTCTGACATACTAAGCAGTTTTGACCAAACAACACATCATATTCATAAATGTAAAAAATAACTATTTTCCATTTTTTAAAATCTTAAGAAAAAAAATTGACAGTAAAAATAGGTCTATTCAAGATATCATTTAAGATTCTACATTAAAAATAATCATAAATCATATGAAGTAAACTCTCCTTTTACTAGAAAACTTTAAGTCAATAAAACAGCCAACAGTGTTTAATTGCCTCATCTTTGAAGCCTGATATCATCTCCAATTTCTAACCATCACTTACTCTTCAATTTTCTGAATTGCTATATTCTTGTAAGCCAGTAGTATTTACATTTTAAAAGCATATAATCTCATAATTATTTCTAACACTAGAGTGATTTTTAAATTCCGAACCAGCCGTCAGTGTTGGGAGACTAGAAATCATATAGCTTCTCTACCTTATAGTAGTTAGCACACAGGTTGACAAAGTGAATGCCCAGCAAATAGAAATTTTCCATTTGAAGCTAAAGCATACTGTTTAACAGAAATCTCAGTACAAATACAAGAGATTTGCTGTGAACAACTCCACTTTACTTACATAAACCAAAAGCAGGAGGATGAAATTAGGTATTTCCGAAGTAAAGATTTGCTTAAGTTCTTAATAGTGGTATAAAAATTACTTAAAAAGATGACCTGTATACTGTTTATTTATCATCAACAGCAAAAAAAAAAAAAACACTTTGAGAAAAATTGGGAATTTTATTGATTGCAGTATTATCTGTTGCTCTATACAAAATTAAATTTCATAAAAAGAAATGTATACAGGGCAAGGGATTTAGCTCAGTGTTTCCACTACCTGCCTTGAAAGCAAAAGAACCCAAATTTGATCCTGTACCCCCCCAAAATAAATTCATATACTATAAAATGATTACTGTATCATGTATGTGTTGAATGACATTTATTTCAGTATTAGAATAATTTTCATTTCTATGGATAACAAATAAATACCTATGAAATCAATTTAATAGGTCAGTTATATAATACATTGTATGTACGTGCTATTTTGTTATTTCTCTGTATAAATTGTCACATTCTGTCTATGAGACTTGTTCAACAAAATTAAAAGCTAACTTTAAATCAGCCTTCTTTTTATCTACCAAAAAATGGAAAAAGAACTCAATATACTCCTGATTAAACTTATGATGTCTCTTTGAACTCCTGAACCTTTAAAAAGTTGTCTCTATTTTGAATTGCAAAGAAACAGCTTTTTCAGAGTTCTAACTTAGTAAAACATAAAGGCAAAAGAATGTATAATTAAGTATATGAATAAGTGAGTCCATTTTTCTCTTATTTGATAAGGAAGGAAGAGAAGGTAGAGGGGAGGAAAGCAGGGAGGAGAAGGAGGAATCAAAATCCCAGTTAAGTTTAGATAATATCCTTTAATTTAAGATCAAATTTTGGAAGTACAGTCATTAAAAAAAAAATACAGCCTAATAGTAAAACATAGGAATTTTCTGGTGAAAGTACTTGGGTTTGAATCCAAGATCCATCTGTTAAGTAACATGATCAACTTACCTAATTTTTCTCAGCCTCGGTTTTTCCACATGTAAAGGAATTTTTACAGTGTCATTTACACTCATAAAATTTTGACCTTTTGATGACACAAAGTATATGAAGTAGTCTGAAATACCCTTGGTAAATAGTAAGCATCTGTAAGAGCATTTTAAATAACTGCTATACTGTAGAGTATCTGTTTACTCACAGTCCACCTTAAGGCCATAGTCCAGGAAAAGCAAACAAGCCACATAAAGAAGAGAATGGAGTCCTACTCAGCCATATAGAACAAGAAATTAGAGACATTTATAGCTAAGTGGATGGACAATGAGGATATACTCGAGTGAAAGTAATACAACATACATGTTTAAATACTGAATAGTTTCTCTGCTATGAAAAACTAAACATGTAAATAAGGATCCAAATGTATAATTGATACTGTGTAATAGGAAGAAAAGGTCTAAAGGAGTAGGGGAGGTGGGAAGGGTAGGGGAAAGGTAAGAAGGGAAAAAAAATATGAGAAAAGGAAAAAAATGGAAACAAAGTCCGCAAATAGGGAAGGGTGGAGGGGATGAAGGGAGGGCAGGGGAATGGAGAAAAAATAACCAAGATACATCCTTTAAATGCACAAGATACCAATGATGAATGTAACTGTACTGTACACTTAAAATGTATCAATAAACTTAATGAGGAAAAAAAAAAGAAGAGAATGGAACTCAGACTTTCTCTACCCAGTCTTTCTTGGTATCCTAAAGTTCCAAAGAATGTGTTTTCTCTACAAAAAGGAAAATAACAGAACTCAGATCTTTGACCATAGCCTTCTTCCCTGTGAGGCAGGAATGCTTAGCTAGAAGCTGGGATTTTGATAGTTGCTCATGTACAATTCTATGTTCTAGAACATCATATCAAACAAAACTATGCAGGACACATGGAATTAAATCCCACTTAATATTGCTACCTAGAGGTCTTCAAAACCAGGGTGGGGGGAATCCCAACATTTTGAATGTACACTATTAAACAGGTACATCATTTATATAACCTATCTACTGCATTGATAAATTATATTATAAAACATTCTGAAGAAAGATCCAGCAATGGATCTGAACCATTTTCCAAGCTCCCTTCTCTGTAAATATTTAGGGTAAGATAAATAGAGAATACTAGCTATGTTTCTAGGTACAGTGTTTATTATAGGTCAGTGTGGTGAACCTTTTAGAGCTTTCAATGATACAAACAGCCCACTGAAGCACAGGTACCAAAGGTTTGCCATCACAACTTTAGGTGAAGTACACCTAGACTGGGACAACAGATGATGAACTAAAAAATTATTTGGGAACTCACAGACATCAGCTCCCTGTGTTGTGTGTTCTTGTACATGAGGGCATCTCTGGAGAGGGCTGTTTGTTGTAGGACACTGGTCCCTGTGCAGCATACGCCTTCCTCAAAGTAAGGGAGGCCATGATTTCCCACATGGTCTCCTCATCTTAAAAATGAGTTGCTAAGTGAAAAGATAAGGAAAATGATTTCTAACAACTACAGGAGTCCCACTGAAGAAGCATCTACCATAATCCTGTTAATATTCTGTTTTCTGCTCCCCATCTTTCTACTAAACCAAGGGATCCTGACAGCAGTTAACAGACTGTTGAGTCACATGAGTGTCAAAACCAAGCCAAAATTTCTGAGTCTTCTGCTGGCAGTCATGGATACATCAAATATACAAAAACATATTGGGCCAGGGATTTAGCTCAGTGTTTCCACCACCTGCCTCACAATCTCAAGAATCTGAGTTCAATCCACGGCACCAAAAAAAAAAAAAAAACCAAACTATTTTTTCCCTCTACCTCCATGAATTAACTTAAGAAACATAAGTTTGAGATCACAGCTTGGTCTTGGTATATATGCTTTTCAGAATAGTTGAGATTTGGGTATATTATTTGTAAAACACTTAAGATATTTTTACCTTTGTTTCTAGTTATTTATTTATTTTTGTAAATACCAAATTTTCTTTATTGACCATATGTTGATGGACATATAGGTCTCTTCAAAGATTTAGTTATTATTGATTGTGCTGCTATCAACATGAGAATGCATGTATCACTGTAACATAATTTCTTTAACTTCTGCCAGAAGATACCTAGAAAGGGATTAGCTTGTCAAAAGAAATGTATAGCTTCAGTGTTTTGAGGAAAGTCCATACTGATTTCCATTTGGGGAGAGCTTCTTTTTCTCCATAGTCTTGCTAGCATTTGTTAATTATTTGATTTCTTTTTTATTTTGTTCACTAAGTTTATTGGTACATTTTAGGAATACAATATGATGACATTCATCATTGAGAATTTGTACTCTTTACATGATATATCTTGGTTCTTATTTTTATTCACCATCCCCCCTACCCTCCCTTCCATTCCTCCACCCATTTTTTGAGTTGGGGTCTCACTCTGCAGTTCAGGCTGGGCTTGAATTCACCATGCAGTCAAAACTTGCCTCAAACTTGGGGTGACCCTCCTGCCTCAGCCTCCCCAGTACTGGGATTACAGCCATATTCCCAGCGCCCCTTTATTTAATATATTTGGCAGATCTTTATCTTTGGGCATTGTAAATCTTTGCTTTAATTGTAACTATTATTTCCTCTATGCCCTTTTAAACTAAAAACTGATCATCCCATTGTTGTAAATTCTGCAGAAGCAAGAGTTTCTCAAAATAAAATCATTAAAATATGTTCTTGAAATTCTTCATTTATTTTATTAATTTTGAGGATATTAGGGCAAATCTATAAGGTTTTTTTTTTTCTCATACCAGGGATTGAACTCTGGATCTTGTGCTTGCAAGGTAGGTGGCAGAACCACTAAGATAAATCCCTGGCACTAAGGTGTTTAAAAAATTATTCCACTGTAGGAGAATCAACAAATGCTTAATTTTAATATATTATTATGGTAAGTCTTAACACTACACTAAATTCCAAGTCAAAAAATACTTCTACAACTTTTCATAAACATCTATAGTGTTGTCTTCCTTACCCCATTTTTAGGCACACATAATTTTGGTTTATACTTACCCTGAAACATGCAACATCAGCAGCATGTAGAAGACAAAGAAGAGGTTATGAGTATACCAGAAGATATCATAATTGGAAACTCTGAAAAAAAAACCCAAATTAATTGATTTCAATCCTCTATTACATCCCATCTCACTAAAAAGAGTATTCATTATATCAAACCTACATCACAATTTAAGAATGATAAAATGAATTTATCTGAGATTTATCTATTAATACCAAAGTATTAACATATCGGTCATACAAAAAGAAATGAATAAAGCAGAAGTGGCACTTCTACCATTTTGAAGGTTCTTTGTATTTCAAATAAAATCACATGGAAAGAATTAAAATAAAGTGAACATTTTAGAGCTAAGGGATGAAGAGACTGCTAATTTGTATATCTGCTATCTTTTTTAGCAACATTTCCAATATTTAAATGATTTCTAAGAAAAGCAATATTCCTACTCTAATATATATTTTGAGATTAGCTCAAAAGAAACTGCAATGGAGAGAAATTGAAATAAATGTTCGAAGTTTTATATTGTTTCCTTGGACAGTGTAACTTCACAATCACACCTTAAAAGGATTTTCTCTAGGAGAGGACAGTGTTTAAAAAGAACGTGAATGATAAACACAAACGTCTGAGAGAAATACAGACTAACAGGCATTTTTGTGTCACTTGTCTAGAGTAAATATTTATTTATTGGAATCTTGGAGGGGAAGGCAAAATTTGTAAAAGCTCCCTGGATGCCTGTGATACCTCCCCTAAGACCTTTCAGAACCTGCCAATTAAATAGTAGGTCATTGTTTTATATTTATGCCAATCAAAATATTTTACATAAACAATATCATTACCTTATAAGATATACACTCCTACACATATATGACTCTTTTTAGTTAAAATTGTTACATCAAAGGATAGCCAATTGTAATACTATTGATACACATTGCCCAATCGTCTCTAAAACTACATTTATCAATTACAAATATCCAACCATATAATAGTGCCTGTTTCCCCAAAATCAAACCCCACTTCATAAGTTTACATTATTTTTACGCATGAGTGTTATTTCATATCAATGTCACTTTCAATTTTTCTGCGACATCTCTCCTCATAACAATGACCCACCTCAGTTCATACTAAAGGCTCAGTGTGAGAAAATTATTTACATATTAAAGAGTGTACTGGTTTGCTGTGATTCTAGTAACTCTTCTCATATCACACTTATTTTTCAATTTTTATAGTGTGTATCAATATGCAGAAGTTTTACTTTTCATATTTGTAGACAATCAAATATTTATTTCATAAATATTTATTTTAGAGGTCTGATAAATATATACTCAAAGTGTCTTAAAATTTGAATTGTATCATTTAATGTGTAAATTATCTAGAATTCCATTTGCTTACACCTTGTTCTCTTCATAAGCTTGTCATGGAATCCTTATTACTGAGTAGGTTTTATACATAACAGGGTACCTTACAGGGCCTTCTATCAGCTCTGTTTCTTCAAACATTTCTGCAAGTCTTACTTTAAGTTACTGAAGCTTAATCATTTGAATGTTTAGTAGGGCACATGCTCCCTTTTATCCTCTTTTGTAACACAAACTTGCATGTTTCCTGTACTGCTTATAGAATTACTTTACTGAATTCAAAAAGTAAGCAAAATAACCTCTCTGGGGTTTTTCTTGAAAGTGTAACAAACCTACAATAAAGTGGAGGAAAAGTTATGCCTGTATGGTATAGTGTCTTTATTCAAATTTCTATATATTTCTCTTAGTGAATTTATATGGGAATTTTTTCTATTCTTAGTTTCTTACCAAATTTATTCTTACATATTTTATGTTTTGTTACAACTGTGAGTTGTATATTTGTTTTATTCAGTTTTCAAATTGATCACAGCTAGTATAGAGAAGACATTTTTAAATATCTGTTTTATATTTGACTACCTTTTTAAAAGGTAATTTGGTATTTGACTACTTTTATTTGACATTTATAGTAAACTTTTCATAATTTTCTTAGATTTTCTAATTAGATGATTATATCTACCTTTATGAAAACAGTGAAAATATAGCGTTGCCTTTTTCTAATAATTCCAAATACTTCATTTCTTACCACATGTAAATAATGATTGAATTAAAATTAGCACCATGGCTTTTTCCTGATTTTCTAAGGAATATAACTACTGTTTTACTGCTTTTCACCTAATTTTGCCTTTTATAATTTTTCAATTCTATAAAGAAAATAATTTAATTTCCAGTTTATTTAATATTATTATTATTTTCTACAAATTTCACATTTAAAAACTGCCATTTTAAAATCTACTGGAATGGATCCTACTCTCTGAGAGTAGCATGTATTATTTTAAGATTGACACATATTGAACTTTCCCTGAATTAGACTACTTCTCACTATTAAAAATCAAGTATTGGAGTCATATTTATTCATCTAATTTCTCTATTGTAAAGAGAAAAGGTAGAAGATTATCTCTATGGCCTATTTAAGGATTTCATTCTCCCAATAATCCTTGAGGAAAAGAAAAATAGGTGTTTTAATCTCCTTTAAACAAATCAGAAAAACTGAAGATTAAGATGTCCTCACGAATTGTTTATGAAAACAAATATGATAGCTCTGTTGAAACTAGAAGCTTATTTTTATAATCCACTTAATAAATTTCTCTCAAAAATACATTTTCTAGATGTAGAACATTTATATATGTTCATTCCTGTAAATAAATACACTCATATGACTTAATTTTCCAAAACTAAAATTTTGGACAAAAATGCCCAATACTAAAAATGATTTTAAATAATTGTTTTCCTACAGAACACAATAAATCTCCCCAGACAATTGGCATCTCATGCACTAACAATGTCAGTGTTTTGCTTTTCTGAGAGACAATTGTTCTTATAAAAATTTAAAAGTGTGCTTACCATTTGACTTAGTTATTCTACAGCTAGGAGTTGTTCCTTAGGACATAATTGAAAAAGTCTGCAAACCCATATGGATCAGGGTTTTTGTTTCAGAATTAAACACTGAAAAACTGAAATCAACCCAAAGCATCCAACAGTATAAGACTAGGAAAATAATATGAATCTATATGGTTCTATCAGTAAAGAGGATAATAAAAAAGTTATTAAAGTGGGAAAATTTTCCTAAGGTTAAATAAAAAGCAGGTCAGAAATATTATACTATGTCCTTCTTTTGATAAAATACATACATATATGAAGATAGAAAGATTAGAGTGCAAGAGAGAATAAAAAAGAAGGTAAGAGGAGGATAATGTAGGCAAAACCAAGATTGTCTATAAAAATAAATATGTACTAGAAAGCTGACAGTGTTAATCTCTGAGTTTCCTTGAACAGGCTCCCTTGAGGATATTGCCGAGCAATTATTTTCAAATTGTACATATGTTTGTGTCTGTTTTCATTAAATTTTCCATAAGATTTTTGAAAAATTAGTTTTTTTCTTTTTGTTTTCTTGAAACAAAAAATCTGATCAGAAACATGGCACTATAAATATTCTGAAAAATAAAACTCATCTACCAGGAAAAAAAACATATTAAAGTGCCCTTAATGATGTATTTCTTTTTTTTTTTTTTTTTGAGATAGGTTCTTGTTATGCAGTTCAGGTTGGCCTGGAATTCATTACGTAGTCCAGGCTGGCCTCAAACTAGAGGCAATACTCCTGCCTCAGGAGCTCGAGTGCCCGGATTACAGGCATGAGCCTCCACACCCAGCAAGTATTTCCAATTATTTTAGCAGATATTAACAAAACGTGTTTCTAAAGCTATGCTTTGAACACTATTATACTACAGCAAAACAAACTTGCATAAGGAAATTAGCTATAAAATAATTAATCAAAACTTTTTCCCCATACATAAAAACGAAGATAATATGAAAACATCTGAATATTATGGACTGGTAAAAGTAACAAAACAACTCTAACACTTACCTTATTGCATACGTGGAAGCTGTAATCATGAGAAATAGCACCACTACCATGCAGGCTCCTGTCAGGCCAGGAACTGTAAAAATGTACATAAGTACCTTTTAGTTTAAACCATATTGAGAAAAAAAAAAAACTACAAAAAATTACCTTAAAATACAAAGTACTATGCTGTTCTGTGAAAAGTCAAATTCAAACAAGCCTTTTTAAAATCAGCAGAGTTTTAAAGTATTTAAGATAAGACAGATTCTTCTCTTCCTTTAATGAAGACTGCTGTGCTTCCAAATCATCTACTCAGAAAGGCAAGTCTGTCATTACTCCTAAGGGCACACACTATATTAAATGGTAGCAATTACTGCAAAGGTCCTGGGTTCACATTCAGCATTGCGCTGTTTTGTTTTCTCCTCCACAGTACTCAATCTCCCTTACTCCTCCTTTTAGGGAACCCGTAACTCCATCAGTTTCAATGACTGTGTTTGGGCTTTACTATTTGCAATACTTTTTTAAAAACATGTTTTTAAATCTAAAGCTTTGTACAAACCAAAAGCACACAAAGAAATTGTATATTTCAAGAAATAATCATTGTGTTGATGTTTCAAGAACACCTACAGCTAATATACTTCTTCCTAGTATGGAAAACATTCTAAAATCAATGCTTCTCACATGGCATAAATTAGTTTGTTTTTTAAAAATAAGAAAATGTGCAAACAGGTCAAAATTAATGATGTGGTAAATTGCTACAAATTTAGCATTAGTCTACCTAGCCTATCCAAAATAAATAGCTGTTATCCCATAGCTAAAACAATGAAAATCTCAATAGATTCCTTTCTTACTCTTATATTACTAGAAAATTAAATATCCTGTGCATGTCACATTTTTCACTCTGAAAAATCACTCATGAATAAATGCCCCATCTAAAAGACTCTTAAATTGGGACCCAAAGAAAGGTTATTGTAACAATTCTTTCTGAAGGAGTACAGACATCTCCCCCTTCTCTTCTTGAACTACAAGTCACTCAGAGAAGATTCAAGTTGGATCAGTGTATGAGCGATACAGGTGTGCACCATTAGAATTCTATAAGGCTTAGAATCATTGGAAAATAACAATATTAGAACTCTCAGTACAGTAGAAACTAGTCCCACTTATAAAGGGCCACATGAAAATTAAGAGTCTTTGGATTCACACTTGAGTACTTTGTTCTACTCATTTTTCCCAATATACAGATTTAGAGCCCTAAGATAATTTGCCCTTCAAAGATAAACCAAATCCAAATCTTAGCTTCTCTATAGTTCCTTCCTAGAGTACTCTTTTTCCCATTATCTCTTCCGTTTTTCTGCTTACTTCCTAGGGGGTAAGTGAAGAGGAAGATAACTAATATAATTCACAATAAAGGATTACAAATACAAAAAATCCACTATTTTAAAAAATAGCATGCCTATAAAATGATGTAGTTATTGCACTCCCAAAACTTTACTCACAGAAAAAAAAAACACACTAACTTAAAACTGCAAAAGATTTGTTCAAGATTAGTCACGGCCCCTCTATTTTTAATAATCAGCATATAAATAACTCAGATACTCATCAACAAATGAACAAATAATTATCATATTAACTGCACCTGGAAAATAAAATTAGTGGTAAAAGAAACTGTGGATTTTTGACATATTAATCAACAATACAAGAATAGAAAATTATTAGACTGTGTGAAAGAAACCATTGCCTCACCCCCAAAGTATAAGCTTTATAATTATTTCTTTATAAAAATCTATAAGAAGGCCAGGCATGGTGGTGCACGCCTGTAATCCCAGCACTCGGGAAGCTGAGGCAGGAGGATCGCTGTGAGTTCGAGACCAGCCTGGGCTACATAGTGAGCCAGGTCAGTTTGCACGCCTGTAATCCCAGCACTCGGGAAGCTGAGGCAGGAGGATCGCTGTGAGTTCGAGACCAGCCTGGGCTACATAGTGAGCTCCAGGTCAGTCTCAACTATGTAGTGAAACCCTGCCTCAAAAAAAAAAATCTATATGATTCATACCATACTTGTGTGATAGAAATCAGATGAGTTGCTAGGAGGGATAGAAGACAGGATGCACTATTAAGGGGTATAAAAAGCTTTTGGGGATAATGGAAATATTTGTTATGTAGATTTTGGTGACAGTTTGATGTATATATTATATACTAAAATGAAATTATATACTTTACATATAAGTGGGATTTAGTGAACTTCAACTATAATTCAATAAATTTGAGAGAGACAAAAGGTTAGTTTCACTAATTACAAGTAATTTTTAAAAGGCTCTCTTTGTTCAAATGAATAACTAAGCATGAAAACCCCAGATGTCATGAAGTCTGTGCTTAGAAGGGCCTCTCTAAAATTTTATTGGGCCTTTATTAATGTTCTTCTGTGTTTACATACAAAGATTCCTATGTGACTCTGAACATGCCAAGATTAGTAACAGAATGTCTGCAAGTCACCTCACTGCTGTTAGAATAGTGTCACAATTTCCAAAGTTCACCACTTGAACATTAGTTCTTTGAGATATTAGTTTCTCAAACTAATCTCAAACTCAAAAAATCATTGCCATCTCTGAAGAATTATAGGACATATTAGTGCATTGAAGTACTGAAGTCAAGAAACTCATCTGAACTTATTTCTAAATGTATAAAGTGGTGACTTCTTACTACACATTCCAAGGGTCAGGATAAGCACTTTGAAACTACTGGACTAGCCTGGGTATTAGTTACTTGCTTAAGTGATTACATTTACTTTCTGTGGAAATTATGAAGACAAACATATTCTTGCATTTTTGGAAAAATACAAGTTTATATATTTATTTCTATTGCTTTATATATATGTGCATATCAAAGTCACTAACTAGTAACCTTTAAAATTAGTAACTGTATATTTTGATATGCATATATAAAAATTTTAGCAGAGAATACCAAGCCACATTAAACACACTAATATCCAATAAACTTATCAACTAATAAGAAAACTGTCACTAAAACTCAAAATATGAACACATTCCTTTACCAGAAACTAAATTTTTCTTAGATATTGTGCCAAAGACTATTCAAAGACAGTTATGGAATAGTTTTAGCTACAGGTAATAACAGAAGATTGAATTAAGTCTATTTGTAGAAAATGGTACCTGTTATCCCACTATGGCTTTATATATCCCAGTGTTCTGTCATCTACTACTATTCAGTGGAATTAAGCAGATGTTCTAGAAACTCAAGGTTCTGTTAGAGAGTCCTGTGTCTGAGCTCCAGATCCAGGCTGATTACCTAGGAGGTAGATGGCTCCTACTGGCCATCACAATACTGCTTTCAGGAAATTATGTGAGTCGTGGCCACCAAAATAATGCTCTCTTGATTTTTAGTTACTGAAATTGTTTAGACTGATAGAAGCCCCACAAAAGAAAATTGCTTTCAGCCTTGCATACCCTAGAAGCAGCCCTACTGCATCCTGGAGAAGCTCACCTTCAAGAGGGAAAAAGAGCACATGAAGGGAATAAACTATTGGACAACATCGTAGAATTGCAGCCTATCACCTGTGACTTTAAGGATGATCTGGCACTGACCAGATGAACAAAGGAGAGTTGGCTATTTTGGGGGGAAAAGTGGGTGGTAGTGAAAGAGGATGCCCAACAATAAGATGAGTTGTTCCGTGAAGGTAGAACAGTAGCTTCCAAGGTACCTGGGAAGGTGGGTAAAGCACACCACAAAATCTCTCCCTCAAACACTCTTAAATGGAACCAGGATGTTTGTGTTTTTAAGTTATCATCTCTACTAACTCCAGAGCCACTCAGGAGAAACCCCAGGAAGAACTCATTGACAGAGCTTTATGGGAAGTGGAGAGAACACCTACCATATGTACTAACCTGTCTCAGGGCAGTATCTTGGTCATAAAAGAAATCTTTATAAATCTTTGTGAACTAGATTTTAAAGCATTTTAATATTCTAAGGTTCCAATTAAACTTTTGCAATAGAAAGTAATAATACAAAGTTCTTTGTTTCTCTTAAATTAATTCACATGAACAAAAACTACATTGATTCATACATAAGGTTTTGCTTTTCTGCTTTTTTCCTGTTTTTTATCCAATTCTTGAGGCTTAAATAAAAAAACATGTTTCTGATGAGAAAATTTTTAAGCAAAATGAAACTGTTTCCAAAGTGAGAACTGTGAAATATTCTAAAACTGGTAAATACTATAAATTTATAGGCAGAAAGAAAATATGTTTATAAATCTAACCATGTGGCACAGAGGGTAAAGTATTTGATAGTGTGCTATTTTTCTTCATAAAATGGGTTAAAAATGAAAACAATGAATTTGAAAGGGTGATGTAGCCTCTGATAAGTTATTACAGCTGACATCTATGCTAGATTATGTCAACCACCCCTTCATCCTTGTGGCTAAAATATGTGCTGAAAAATTCCCATAATGTAGCCTTCTCCTTTCAACTATCACAAAACACAAGGTTAAGAAAAAGAAGAATTTTAGAATTGTCCATTGGTAAAATTATGAGATGTTCAAATGTGTCTAGAAAGATTTCACAGACAAAAAGCTTGAGAGAGAAAACCAAATTACAAAGAAAAAAAAGACACATTTCAAAAAATGGCTGATTTTTCCCCATTAAGTTTATTGGTACTTTTAAAGCAAACAATACAGTTGCATTTATCACTGCAATCTTAATGACTCTCCTCTTATAGGTCTTAAGATCACAATACCCTACTAAATTACTGAATTGTAAGAACTACACTTACAGGGCTTTTGCTGTTTCTTTACAGCACCCCTAGAGCAGAAATCCCTGCCATGTATATTATCTCCCACTGCATTTGGCATAACAGCAAGCACAAAGCAGACCCCTGCTAAGCGTGTGGGTCGTAGTAATTCTGCTAGAAGAACTTGTGACAGAGAGAAGTAATGGCTAACTTTTACTCTCCATTTATACACACTCCAGTTGTTTGCCTTGTTCCCCTGTTTTCACTGAAACACTATGCCTGGACTCTTAACATTTGTTCTATTATGCAATCTTCCATATGTTATATTTTAGCATGCCTCTAACTGCTATGTGACCTGACAGTGCCTATTTCCAATGATGTTCCAGACTCTAGAAAAGGGAATGAATAACAACTTACCAGTCATGAAGAGAAGTTTTCTAGGATCCTGAGAAAGTGGGGGGAAAAAAAGGATTTGACTGTAAAATAAAACGTTGATGATATAAAATTCTACATGAAGTTTGCAGAGTCTAAGAACCAAGTTTCAAGCATGTAGAGTTCTTCAGTTTAAGTAGAAGAGACTTAATTAAGCTTCACAACGCTAGAGATTATAACAATTATAAAATCCACTATAGAATTTTGTCCATCTGAAAAAAGCAGAGCACTGGATGCATCAGAAGGCCTGGGTTTTAATCTTACTGTCTACTAACTAGCCAGTGGCTATAGTTTTAAGCATACAGCTGACCATTCTGAGACTCAAATCTTTAGTTATACTGTGAAAAATATTCATATACACTCTGTCTACTGCCAACGACAAACTGCAACACAGAATCAAAAGTGATAAAATACGTCGGTATTTTGCAAAGCATAAACTCAGTGCAAAGATAACTAACTGAGAACTCACTGTTTTATATACTATTAGAAGTGGTATGGAAACAAGAAGGATAGGTTTATGCTACTTGAAAATATAAAACACTGATACTCTTATTATAATACTTACTTTAAATTAAATCTGTCACACTGTAATATACTATAATGAACTCTCTACCTTCTAGAAAACTTAGCTCAATCCTCAGTATATATGCAAATTTATTTTTCACCCTCAAGTGCTTAATATTGCACAAGCTTTTAAAGTTTGTTCATTTTGCTTTGTTTCCTGCAGTGCTGGGAATCAAACTCAGGGCTTTGCACATACTAAGCAAGTGATCTATCAGAACTACACCCCTGGCTAAATGCACGCTTTCGAATTCTTTTCTTTACAGATCTTTGAATTTGGAGTTAGTCCAGGCTTTAACGTGAATGGCAAGCCATTTATATGGTGTCATTTCAGGACCACTTCTCTTGGAATAGCTCCTCACCTTGCTTTGGGTAACATGACTTATCTTCTTGGTATGATAAAAATGCCCACAGTGTGACCTAGAGAAACTCAATACATAAATGGCCTGTTAATAAAAAAGGCGAGATGAGTTAAGCAAAGTGGGAGTATTAGAAATATGAATAAATTATGACAAAAACTCAGAAGATAGAACAATTAGTATCGCGAAGGGAAGATGGAACATGAGAGTAACAGTTTCACAAACAAAATGAGGCAGATTTAACTGGGCCACCAAAAATGCACAAATCACAAGCTGGGGGACAGTTTACTCCAGCCTGAGTAGATGCATAACACAAGAACAAGAAGGTACAAGGCACAAAATCGTCTCTTTAAAAGTCAATTTACAGAAAAATATATCCATTTACACACACATATGCGTGGGCACACACACATACACACACACACGAGTACTTTTAATTTCATCTCTAGTCAGCACATTGTCCCATACTTTCTAGGTGCTACTTATTTACTAAAAGAAGCAGAGGAAGAACAAAAGGAGATGTGCAGAATGAAGTAAAAAAAGAAAGGAAGAAAATGAATATCTAAAAACAGTGAGTTGTCCTTTTCATCCATCAGATTGGGGAAAAAGAGACAAAAGGCAGAAATAGGCATTTGGATACACTGTAGGCAAGTGCATGTAAACTTTAGAAACCATATTAGAAAACAGTTCATCAACGTCCATCAAAACTTGAAATGCACATTTTAAATCATAATTCTATGTCTACTAGTCTATGCAGCAGAAGTGTACAAAGAAATTAATTTACTGGAGTGTGGTTTATAACAAAAACTTGGAATCAACCTAAACGACTATGAAATAAGGCAAAGGCTAACCAATAAATTAGAAAATTTTATATGAAGAAAATGAGATAGAACTATATAATCTAGTATAGTAAACCTATATACGTATATTTATGGAAACAAATTGCAGAGGAATAGGTATTAAAAAATACCACTCAAATCTCTTAGAAGAAACAAAATAACTGTGGCTAGTTTTAAAGGAAAAGCTTTCACTTTTAATTTCATTTACTCAATTTTAAAATATTTTGTGCATGTGTCTATCAATCAACACAAAATAATTTTAATAACTAAAATCACAGAAAATATTTGGAAAATTTGAGCAAAGGTAGATTGCATTAAAATAATAAAATATTATAGGTATTAAAAATATGAATTCTTAAAAGAGGTAAGCATAGTGGAAAAAAAAGCAAGATAAAGGTATAGCGAGAGCAGGAAACAAATGACCCTAACAGATGTGGGCAAAGGGCAAGAGGTAAGCGTGAGAGGCAGACGGACCTGGAGACAGGGAGGTCTGGGGACCAGGACCAAATCAGTATGTGCTGACAGCTGTCCCTGTCATACTAAGGAGGTGGATTTTTCAGTGATTTTTCAAAGCTCGGTGCAATCTAATTAAATCATATTAGCATTGCTTTTAAAATATCAGCAGAAGCAATGTTTGTACTTTTGGTTTCGTAATTTGTTTTTTGTTTGTTGCGACTCTTTACTCTGGGAGAGAGGTGAAGCTTGTGCATGATTACAGCAGTATTAACCTAAAAAAATGTGGCGAGATGTAAAAAAAAGAAAATGGACTGTGTAAAAATGGGCAGTATTCGTGCTAAGCTGCTCTCAATCAGCAGAAAAGAGCAGAGTCTGATCAAAGGAGTCGCAGAATGGTGTAGTTTTGCTGCTGTCTTGGCATTGAGAAAAAAAAAAGGCAGCCCAAAGACATATGAAAGTACCAAACAATGAAGATCTACTCACCAGGGCTATGCAGGTGCTGTGCCTCAGCACCCTGAACATAGAATTTCATTTTACAAGTGGCTTCACATGGAAAAACGTACCCCTAAGTCAGATACTACCTGCTGCACAGCTCAACTCAAGGTCATCTATTTTCAGGATTTTTTTTTAAAGGAAGAATGAAAACAAAACAAAACAAAAAAACGCACTCATTTTTTAAGGTAAATAAGTTGATTATCCAGTATCCATAATCGGCCTCCTTTTCTGCCGCATTCCTCCAAGCACATTATGTGAATTATTAAAGTATTTTTACCCTATAATGGCATTGTCGACACTTAGCTGAATGATAGGAATTAGACAAAAGCTGCTGGGAGTCAGAAGGTAGGTCTGAGTGGCAACCATCTGAATATTGCAGAATATAAAAAGTAGACACTTTGCACACACCCATTTTCAGCATGAGAGACTATGAAATAGTAATTACCTATATTTTCCATTGAAAGGGAATAAAACTCAACTTGACAACTGCATTTTAAAAGCACTCAAAAGGAGCAGCAAGGTATAAATTTTCTGTGAAAATCACAGACCCTCATTAGTCATCTAATGACAAGTGAAAGGAAAATGGGAAAGCAGAAGCCACCCACCTCATTTTGGTATCTTGCTGCATTCAGTTCAACAAAATCTTCACTGTAGTTCACTGAGAAGTTGAGGGCGTTCACCAGATGGGCAGCCACGTGCACTCCTACAGAACCAAACCGGGGGCAAGCCAGTGGCATTTTCATATACATTCTAAGGCAAGAAATCAGTTCCTTTCTCTCGATGATATACACCTAAATTTTGACAGCTTTATAAGCAACAAAATATTAAAATGAAAAGGGGGATGTTAAAAATCCAGAAAGAAAGAACTTTGAACATGAACAACTAAAAGAATTTTCAAAGGCTAGAATGAAATAACCATGGTAAGTCAAGACAGGGAAAAAAAAAAACACTTCCTCTCTATGTACACTTGCATAAAATGTTTCTAAAATGGACATTTATATATTTACTCAATAGCTCCCAGAGTATTCCACATCTTTCATCTCTCATAGCTCCAACTTTGCTATGTATCTTGTATACTTTGCCACAAAACTATCCTTTCATCTGTTGATGGACATTTAGGCTGATTTCCATATTTTAGGTGTTGTGAACAGTACAGCAATGAACATGTTTCTATCATTTTCTTTGAATATATACTAAGAAGTGAAATTGCTAGATCACATAGATCTATTTTGGGGGGGAATCTTCCTACATATAAGATTGTACTAATTTACATTTCCACCAATAGTATGTGAGAAATGTCCTTTTCTCTACATCCTCACCAGCATTTTTTTTTTTTTGCTTTTGTTAGTATTCATTCTAACTGGCATAAAATGACATCTCATTATGGTTTTGACTCACATGCCCTTGATAGATAATGGTATGGATCAGTGATGGTGACCTGTTACAGAGTCAAGTGCCCAAACTGCAACCCAAGACCTACTGTAATTAAACCTGAATACTGAGCTTTTAGATAAGAAAAAACAGCTCATACATTAATATATTTTGTTAAAAGAAAAACAATATGCATGTCATTGGTTCGCTACCACTGCAATAGAGCATTTTTCATAAATTTATTGGTTATTCTTGTTTTGAGAAGTATCTAATCATATAATTTGATGATTTTAAAACGATTGTTCTTTGCTATTGAAGTTTTAAATTCTGTACACATTCTGGATATCTGGATATTAATCCTTTGTCAGATGAATAGTTTGCAGAACTTTTTCCCTCCGTTCTGTAGTTTCTTCACTCTGTTAATTATTTCCTTTCCTTTGCTTTCCTTAGATAAAACCTTAGTTGTCTGTTTTTTGCTGTGATTTTAAGGTCTTATCTAAAAGACAGACATGTAAACTAATGTTTTCAAGTGTTCCCCGTACATCTTCTTCTAGTCATCTCACAGATTAAGAGCTTCCGTTCAGGTGTTTGATCCAGTTTTAGTTGACTTTTTTCTAGGGTCAAATTTCAGATTTCTGGATGTGAATAGCCAGTTTTCCTAGCATCACTTATTAAAGAGGCTGTTCTTCCTATAACATATGTATTTGGTGCCTTTGTCAAGAATCAGTTGGCTCTAAATGCATGATTTTGTTCTGGGCACTCTCTTTTGGTCTCTGCGTCTGTTTTTATGCCAACATTATTCTGTTCAGATCACTGTAACTTTGTACCGTATTTTGAAGTAAGGTGGTGTGAAGACTCTAGCTTTGTCCTTTTACTCACATTTCCTTTGCTTATTCAGAGTATTTTATCCTTCCCTATGGTTTTTAGGATTTTGGTTTCTGGTTCTGTGAAGATTGCCTTTGGTAGTTTAGTGGAATGGCATTAAATCCGTACATTACTAATGATACTTTAGATAAAGCACCAAAGGCATAATCCTTCCATTTAAGAAAAGGCTGAACTTCATTAAAATTTTGCAAGTCTGCTCTGTGAAAGACAAGAAGAAAATAAGCCACATACTGGGGAATACATTTGTAAAAAAATAGAATTTGTTAAAGGACTATTATCTAAGATATATGAAAAAAACTTAACAAGGAAAAAACAATCTCACTAAAAGATGAATCAAATATTTTAAGAGACATCTCATCAAAGAAAATACAGTGATGGTAAGTAAGTACATAACAATGCTTCACGTCATATATCACAAGGGAAATGCAATTAAAATGACAAGGTGATACTGTTACATACCTATTAGGGTAGCAAAAATCCAGAACCCTGGCAAGACTAATTGCTGGAAAGGCTATGGAGAAACAAGAATTCTCATGCATTTATAGTGGGAATGCAAATATTACAGCCACTTTGAAAAATAGCTTTGTGGTTCCTTAAAATATATATAAAATACCCAAAATGATTAAAAACGTGCATCCACACAAAAACCCACACACAGATGTTTATAGCAGCTTTATTCATAATTGGCAAAAAGTGGAAGTAATCAAGATATTCTTCAGCAGGTGAATGGAAAGAGCGTGGTAGTTACAAACAATGGTTATCATTTAATATTAAAAGATGAGCAATCAATCCATAAAAATACGTGGAAGGAACTTAAATTCATATTTCCAAGGGAACAAAGCCAATATAAAAAGCTATGTGTGATTCCAACGATACGACATTCTTTGAAAAGCAAAACTATGGAGACAGCAAAAGGATCAGTAGTTGCCAGGAATTAGAGAGAAGACAGGGATGAAGAGGCAGGGCACAGAGGAATTTTAGTACAGTAAAAAATACTCTGTGTGATACTGTAGTGGTGGATACAGGGCATTATCTATTTGTCCAAACCCATACAACATCGAGTGAACCCTACTGTGAAAAATGGACTTCAAGGGATAATTATGTGCCAATGTGAACATTCAACAGCTTTAACAAATTATGTCACTCTAATGGGGATGTATATGTGGCTTGGGGTACAGGAAGAACAAAAGAAATCTTTTTCTTTTCAATTTTGCTGTGAACTACACCAGCTCTAAAAAAACAGACAAACAAACAAACAGATTTTTAAAAAATTTTAAATTTGCTTTATAAGAGAAAAAAGTAAACAGGGTTTTGGAAGTAGATTAACAAGCAAGGACCAGGTTCCAAAGAAGTGAAATTAAGTGTTATTTTGGTGTGATTTAATTATGGTACAGGTATAAAACTTTATTTGAATAAAGCTGTCTATATCTGGCAGATGACATAACCAGTAAAGATCTGATGAAACCCAAAGCCCTTTATGTGTTCCCAAAAGTAACCCCTGACTTTAACAGTAAAAGGAAGTTAATTTTGATTACCTACTCTTAATACCATGTGCCCCTACAGCTACCTAGGCTGGAGTCCTTTCCTATCTTCCCTCTTAACTTCCCCAGTAAAGTTTTCTTTTTCCTGGTGTCTTAGTTACTTTTTTCACTGCTGAGACAAAATACCCAACACTCAAAGTTAAAGGAGAGGGCTTATTTTGGCTCCCAGTTTGTCGAGGTTTCAGTTTATAGTTGGCTGGCTCCAAGGCTGGGTGGCACAGCAAAGAGGCATGCAAAGGAGAAACAGTTCATGGCAGGCAAAAGACAGCAGAAGTGACAAAGTAGCAAAGAAGCAAGCCTGTGCTGCTTTAGCATCTTCTCTCTGCCCCTTTTATATTCTATCTGGGCTACCAGGCTTAGGGCAGCTGTCAACCCAATCAGTAGACTGATTTAGTAATCCTACACCCTTAATCCTAGAACCCTCAAAAGCATGGCACCATGAATGAATCACACAGTCTAGATTCTACCAACTCTGGGGAAAGCCCCATCTAGAACCACATAAGGCTTTTGGGGGACATCTGGACAAAGAAGGAAGGAAGGAAGGAGGGAGGGAGGGAGGGAAGGAGGGACAGAGACAGAGAAATAAAGGACTGAACACCTTCACCAATACTGAAATCTAAATTTATAGTTAAAAAATAATCTGCCATTTTGAATTAAAAGTTTTTATGCTAACTATACATTTTGTGGTTCAAAAATCCAAAAGCATCCTTTGAAGGATTGCCGTTCTGAACCCTCAGGGTGTATAAGTGTGTGTGCGATGGGGACTCCTAGGTAAGAATCTTATAAGATACATTCTTCAGGGACATTCACTTTCTTTAAAATACTTTTAGGGCAAAAGAATTCAGAGCTTAGCTGGGAAGCAAGTACTTTGCATGAAAGTTCTCATTTAATTCTCACAGCAAAACAGTGAGAAGAAAACTAAAGTAAAAAAGGTAGCTCATCCAAATTCAGACAACCTCTGAGTAGCAACATCTATGCGTATCCACAGTGATGTTCTATAATATCTCAGTCTCTATAGGCTGTTATTTAAGTGAACTAGAATATTGGGACACCATTACAATTTAGAACAAATCAAGTAATACATATGGCAAATTTTCCCTGCACACCTCTATTTTGGAAGGCAGCTATGCTCACCACTATACCACCAACGCTTGTTGCACACCTCTATTTTGAATTTTCATTCTCTTAGGCCCTAATGAATCCCCCAGTCATTACTGCAGCCTAGGTCTGCATCTCCTCCTGGGACCCTACTTTGTCTCCAGCCTGAGCTGCATTGGAGTCCTAATGGCATCCCTTACCCTCCCTCTCCAACTGTCACCACTCTGGGGGGCAGGGTACAGAAGGGAAATATTCAGGGATGAAATGGGGATGGTGTCTGATATAATAACGCTTGGTAATTATTTTGAAAACTTTAGTATTTTTTGTATGAAAACACTCCTTTCAAAATGGCCAGACATAAATATCCAATGAAAATGTCCTTACTATGAAACACTTATATGACATCAAATAACAATCAAGTAAAAAAAAAATAACAATCAAGTGAAAATGCCAGGCAGAATGACACTGAGATAACTAACCCCCTGAGAGTGTAAATCATAATAACTAATCCAATTCTAAGAACTTTGAATCAATGTTTTCATTTTAGCCTGAAAACTACAAGGGAGAAGCCATTGTCCACCCATTTTATAGTTTAAAAAATATCAAAATAAGGATGGGAGAGGTAAGGTCATAAAGCAAGGCAGAAGAGCCATGGGGTTGGGGGGAGACCCCAAGAACCTGTCTCCAGAATCCACACAGAATCTCCAGGCTTCCTACTTTCTGCCTCTAAGCTTTGAGCATTATCATACAAATGCTCAGGACATGTTTTTATATTAAAATGACTCTAAAAAATGAGAATCTCAGTTTATACTTTTTTAATTAAATCAGGATAAAATGTCTCAAATTTTAACGTGTTCTTCTACCTAAGTACAAAGTGTAATCAAACTACATGGTAAATGTTTAAATCTCAAAATCTATTACAGTAAAATTCACACTGCATTAAACTGCCTCAAACATGCTTCACCTCGCTTCAGACATCCTTATTACGTCATTCTCGTCACTTTCCGAAGCAGCTCTAGAGGAGGTCCTCTGTTGTTTTTCTAATGTGGCATGATCAAAAATATGGTGAATGCTGCTGCTGCGAGCCATCAAAGGCCCAAAGGCGGTTTTGTGAAGACCTAATAGCATATCATCACCCACTTTACTTACTAGATCCAACACTGCAACTTCTGTCTCTCCTCCAAAGTCAAAATGACCATGAAAGGTAAGTATGTTTAATTGACTTAGGACTTTGAGGCCTCTTCAACCACACAACTAAAGACACTGATGAAAAGGACTTCCGGAACTGCTCTACAAAATGTCAAGAGTGATAATAAATGTGTTTGGAGCCAAATGGAGTGTGGGGCAGGGTAACAGGAATGTGTCTCTTCATGTAATAATTTTTAAAAATTAAACACCCACCATATTTTTGAGTCATACCTTGTATTAGTATCAAAGAAACAACTCAAATGTAGTTTGAGGTCAAATCATCACCTTTAAACGAACATTTCCATTCTAATTTTCATGCATTAAACTCATATCATAACATTTATTCTCATCTATTTATTTGGACAGAAGATTATGCTATATAGTCCAGGATGACCTTGAATTTATGATCCTCCTACCTCAACCTCCTGAGTGATGGGATTACAGGCATACACCACTGCGCCCAGCTTCATAAACTATCATGACTTTTACAACATGAACACCTAGTATGTTCCTCCCAATCTTTATAAATACAATTATTACTTTTAGAAAACAATCTCTTTCTGGTTGGGAAGCCAACTTTTAGACATTATATAGAAAAAGTCATAAAGTCTACTTATTTACATAGTTTCCCTAATACTCCTCTTTAAACTCATGGAAGAACAAACTAAGATATATAATCTAAAAATCAAGTTAGTGACAGCAGATAATATACAGAACAAAAAGGTTTTGCATTTAACATACAAAAATGTATAATTCTAACAAATACTTCGTATCTCCTGGCGTTCTCACCTGAGAAAATACAGATAGTAACACCACAGGTTATATGGAATGTTCTGCTTTTATCCAACAATCTTCTTGTTCTCCTGCTTGGCACCTAAATGAAAATTATTTCATATGGTAAAAACAATATTTATATTGTTAATATTGTATAATATTTAATTTTGAAAACATAGCAGAAGCCTAGTAATCAAAACTTAGTTTAAAAAAAAAAAAAAAGCCAGGCGTGGTGGTGCATGCCTGTAATCCCAGCACTCGGGAGGCTGAGGCAGGAGGATCGCTGTGAGTTCAAAATCAGCCTGGGCTACATAGTGAGTTGCAGGTCAGCCTCAACCACATAATGAGACCCTGTCTCAATAAAAAGCCGGGCGTGGTGGTGCATGCCTGTAATCCCAGCACTCGGGAGGCTGAGGCAGGAGGATCGCTGTGAGTTCAAAATCAGCCTGGGCTACATAGTGAGTTGCAGGTCAGCCTCAACCACATAATGAGACCCTGTCTCAAAAAACCAAAAACAAAAAACAAAAACAAAAAAATTAGTAAAATTAATTCTGACATGACTAGTAAACAAAGTACACAAACCATTAAAAAATGTGAGAGGGCTGGGGATTTAGCTCAGTGGTTCTAATGCCTGCCTTGCGAGCACAAGGACCCGAGTTCAATCCCTGGTACCAAAAAAAAAAAAAAAAGGAAAAAGAGATATATCAACAACTTGAAAGAAAATCAAAATGAATTAGCTCAGTGGTTCTAATGCCTGCCTTGCGAGCACAAGGACCCGAGTTCAATCCCTGGTACCAAAAAAAAAAAAAAAAGGCAAGAAAGTTATATCATCAACTTGAAAGAAAATTACAAAATGTATTGTTAGGCAAAAAAAGTTATAAAACAAAAACTACACTGTGATCCTGTACTGTTCAAAATGAGTTTGTTAATGTCTCTGCAGGCATTTACCCCAAACTGTCTGTCATCTGTCGCTGTTCTGGCAGAATAAGATTAGCAGAAAATTTTCTGACTATATTGCATATTTCTTGAATGTTTGAATTTCCTAGTAAATATAATTTCCTTTTGTAGTAAAAGAAGATTATTCTTAAATGAGGCAATCTTCTCTGTGGCCTTAAATGCCTGCCTGGTCTTGTAGAAAAATAAATGTCAAGCATCTTTGGATATCTGTGCTTCACACCGGGAAACATTTCTTTATGACTTATTTAATACCGACAGACTTAGGTGGGAACTTTTCATTTCCTGCTACTATCTTCTCTTTCTTCATACCAAGCCAATGGCCAGCCACAGGGATCAAAAGCTACCATTTAACGACAGTAGGCAACCTAGGGAAGAGTTATTCCTACAAATTACTGCATTAAAAATAAAGAGTTTCCAATATAATTACATGAAAAGATTATGAAGTTTTACTTGAGTAAATCTGCACATGTGAACTTCACAGAGCATTACAACAACCTTTTTTCAAAAAACATTATCTATCCAGCAATGCCTTCTTATTTTAATGAAGAGTGAAGTCATGCACTCATGTACACACACACACACACACACACACACACACACACACACACACACTTGCTCAAGAATAGACAGAAAAGAATTTCAGCTGTTTTCATGGAGTGACTGTTGAAGGCATTGTTGTTTTCTCCTATCCTCCACTGTACAGCCCTAATGAAGATATGTGTCTGACGCTCAATGGGTATGTGGTGTTAAACTGCTGTGAGCAATGTCCATAGTTCCATGTATTGCTCAAAGGCCTCAGGGCTCTACTTTGCTCATGAAATTTAGCTAAGTGAAAATACAGGATCTCAAGGGGCCATGGTGTAGCAATGATAACACAGTACTGGGTCTTTCATTTCATTTTCAGCTATGAACTCAGAATGGTTTAATACACTGATAAGCGTAGCACACCCATGCTCCGATCACCTTCCAAAAGTCCCACTTCTGAATAAATGACACTTTTGAGGGACATTTTAAGTCTACACCAGACACAAACAAAAACCAACTTCAGAATTCATGTAAAGAGTCATGACGATGTAATGAAGTACTGCACATGGTGCCTAAATACATTGCCAATAAGATTTCTCTAACCCTCTGCCTTCATGCTGCAGAAGAGCCCAATAATCATCTTGACAGTTAGCATGACCTTCACTATTATCCTTAAGATGACAGACCATGAAAACTGAGCAAAACTAACATGAGACTATTATAGATGATGTTCATATTGAAATTTACGAGTAGGATTTTTTTTCTTACCTTCTGAGATCCTCGAAGATAAGCCAGCAGTGTTCGGCACATGGGTAATAGGATAAGGCTGCAATTGAGGTTAAGAACAGCTGCCGAGGCTCTGCTTATACACAATCCTAGCTGAACAAACAAGGTAAGAGTCAAAACACAGTGAAATGCAACGTAAAACAGACATGCAACAGGTCTTTCTTTTCTTCCTTTAAGGATCATGGCAAAAGCTAATTCCTTCATGAGTCTTAAATAACCTTCACCTTTCCTTTCACCAAAAAGACCCTTTTAAAATCTAGTTTCTCTCTGCTTTGAATGTCAATAAAACTTAGTTCTCCTTTCATTTCTGCTAGCGCTATAGTAACCTGAATACATTCTTTCATCTCAGAATCTATTTCTTCTCTGGGTTTTACACGACCCACGGAGTCTCAGTACTGTATTTTCTGTACCTCCGCACCCATGCAGCACTGGACCCTTCACTCACAGATAAGGTCACAAGACTTTTAAGTGAAGCAATTTCACCTGTGTTCTCTTGCTCTGGAATTATCCCAGCAACCACACAACCCATTCCTCTGCACATCACCACCTGTCTTCAAGCTCTTCACTTCTTTGACTCTAACTAATCTTCCAGGTTTCAATTAAACTCTGCTGCTCTTGAGTTCTTCCCTGACTTGAGAGCAGGAAAGATCCCACTGTTATAAACACTCACTGCTTCCTGTACTTTAGTACTAGAATGTCTTTTAACACTGACCACCTGTCTCTTTTTAAGTTTTATTTTTAATTGAAGAATGATTACAGTACATATTTATCGAGTGTAATGTGATGTCTTAATGCATGAGTATACTGGAGAATGATCAAATTAGACTAATGAAGATATGTCTCATTTCAAATACTTATTTTTACAGTAAAAGCATTTAAAATCCATTCTTTTTTCTATTTTGAAACATCATTAACTATAGTCACCATACTGTACAATAAATCATAGATTCCTTCTGACACTCTGTATAGTTCAGATAACTCCTCCCCTTCCCTAACACCATCCCTAGTCTCAACAATCATCATTCTACTCTATTTCTAGAAACTCATTCAACTTTTTTAGATTACAAACATAAATGATATTATGGAGTATTTCTCCTGTGTCTTATTTTATGAAGCATAATGTCTCTTAGGTTCATGTGTGCTGTCATGAATGACCAATCTTAATTAAGATGATTTTCAAGAAAACTGAGATATATATGTGTATGTCTTGGATACAATATGTACCAGTTTTTTTAGGACCATTTCCATTTTATTTAAAGCATTACTTCCTATAAAAATGAATAAATAGAATTCAAAATTATTATAAAATATACACTGATCTGTTCTTAGAGACCACATATTGTCTGGCTACTGTGTATTTATTAACGTGTTAAATCTCCTCTGTCAACTGCGGGGAGTCATTCCACTGGGAATCACTGTGTCTGCTGTAATTTGTTATGGCAGCAGGATAAAACTAATACACTGATACGGACTGCAAACTTCATCAAGGCATTATCAGAAATTTCAGGTCACATAATCAAAGACTTATTCCATACAGCCAGGATGGACTGTATACTTTGAGTCTGCAGTAAATTATTAAAAGGACAAACTTCGAATTCAGACAAGTCGTAAGTGGACTAACCAAGTTACAAACTTCTCTAAAGAATGGGACAAAAAAACTACTACCAATGCATTTCAAAATATAGCTATAATACCAATCATTTTCTCCAATAATGTAATCAATTTAGAGGTTACTAATAACACATAATTTAAATTCCACTGCTTCAATAATTTTTAAAAATCTAGCAACATCTGCAAAGCACTCAGAAATTCTAGGTACAATCCGCCACACAGCAAAGACAAACAGAAAAATAATAGCAATTTTGAAGCTGATGAACTTATATTAGAAATACTGAGCTGGCGATGTAGTTGAGTGACAGAATGCCTGCCTTGTATGTATGCTCAAGGCCCTGCTTCAGTCCTCAGAACAGCAAGAAAGAGAAAAAGAAAGAAAGAGAGAGAGAGAGAGAGAGAGAGAGAGAGAGAGAGAGGAAGGAAAGGGAAAAGACAAAATCAAAAGATACAAAGATAACATTAAGATTTGCCCAAAATAGGAAAAAAAGAAAGTTGAAAGCATAGAAAACTTAAGTACCCTATAATTTAAATACTCTATAAGCAAATAAATGCAAATCAGAAGAATATACTGCAGTATCAGGATATAGAGCCAATATAAAAATGTGATAAAAACATAAACAAGAATCAATATAAAAATTGTTTATAAAAATATAAATGAGCATCTTGCTTAAATCAATATACTGAAACTGAGGGCTAACAGTAAACAGATTCTGTTCACACAAAATAAATAAAGGAGCTCATCATGTAAAGTACCTTATTCAATGCCTACCACATGTAAAAACTCAATAAATGCTAGATATTGATAACATTTTCTAGATCATCACTGATTTCTACACTCTAGATCATCCTATGTGTCATACAAGTTAATCATAATGACACCGCATAACATTTTTTCAAATGCTCTGTCCTTTTTTGTATTGATAAAACAATTCCAACAACTAATTTTAATCAAATTCCTGCTAGATTCTCATCTGCTATTGCCTAGTAACACCCATATTCTTCACATGTGTCTTAGTCACTTTTTTCTCATTGCTGAGACAAAACACCCAACACCCAAAGTTAAAGGGGAAAAGATTTATTTAGCTCCATTTGTAAAGGTTTCAGTTCATAATCAGCTGGCTCCAAGGCGGGGTGCAATGGCAGACAGGCATCACAGAGGAGAAACAGTTCATGGTGGGCAGAAGGTACCAAAGCAAGCAAGAGAGGACCACAGCTCTTTCTATCCCTTGTATCTTATCCAGGCTATTTAGGGTGGGGAGCACTCATAACCTTAATAAAGTGCCCTTGAGTCTATCACTGCACCATGAATCAATCCAGGATCACACACTCTAGATCCAGCCACCTCTGAAAAAGTCCTACCTGTGACTCCATGAGGCTTTGAGGGACAACTAGACACAAGCTAAAACAATATGACTACTTATTTTCAGAAGAAATCAAAAGGTGACATCGTATCTGTACATTTGTCCTAAAATAAGCACAAAATGACTCTCTTTTAAAAATACTAAGAAATATATGACACAGATGCTTTTCTTTTGAATTTGTATATTGTAGAGTTCCAACTTAACATCAGACAAAATATCAACTCCATCATGCAGTATTTATTGTCACCACATGAAATATTATTCCTGATGGGAGTGCAGGGTAATAACTAGTGTTTGTGAAAAAAGCAGTAATTCTCACTGAAAGATTTAAAAAATAACTAATACTTGCAGTCAAGCTATTTCTAGTGTTCTAGTTAGAACACTTTAGGAATACAGTTCAAAGAATATATTAATAAGTGGACAAATAGATATATCTTCTCTGGACTATTTTATAAAGATGACAAATATAATTTTCTCATCTCAATCAGTACAGTTATTATCATTTGAGTTATGAGCTTTTGTTGTTTAGCTAGACTTCCAGAGAAATAGAAAAGGTATTACTTCTTTTGATCTGGCATTTGCATATGGTAAAATTTTAGGTTAGGGAATTTCTGAAGACAGTTTTACTATGCATTTTTAATAAATCAAGACAGTAAGTTCATTTATAATACATGAGGTCCGGGGATTTAGATCAGTGGTTCTGCCACCTGCCTCATAAGCACAACTTCCCGAGTTCAATCCCCAGTACCAAAAATAAATAAATAAATATAAATTATATGAGGCAAAACCTATTGTGAAGTTCAGGATTTTAGATAAATTAACTATACACCCTTTGGGGATTCAGTGTTTTAAAGAAAATTCATATGTGTATTCATTTTCTAACTATTCATTGCAAGTCTAGAAGTGTTTAATTATTGTGTTTACATTACATAACACAGTAATTAATTCAAAGTGGCTTTAAATGTCTCCTTGGGAAAACTGAAGTTCCTTGTGGTACCCTATTTCTTCCTTATGATGGTGCAGACTCCAACTGGAAATGTTACCAGGAATCTGTTTTCTTACATACTTGCCACTGAATATACTTAGTTCTTTTTTTGTTTCATTTTGTTTTGTTGTCCTTTTGGGGTTGGGTTTTTTGGGGGGTTTTTTGCTGTTTTTTTTTTTCATTTTGTTTTGTTTTTTGGTACTGGAGATAGAACCTGGGACCTTATACTTGCAAGGCAGGTGGTGGAACCACTGAGCTAAATCCCCAGCCCAATACTTAGTTCTTTAAAAGAAGAGCAAGATTTCTTTTTTATTGAGTTCCCAGTGGGAGAGTGAGGAAAACAACAGCAAATCCATTTTCAAATGGTGTGATTTTAAGAAAACATCTTATCTCTTTACTACATAGATAATATTCTAGTAGCTAAGTTTTACTGATATGTAGGTAGTCAATTTATCCCTGAGTTCCATAAGCATCACTTATCTCAAGTATTACTAAGATAGAAAGACCATTCCAAGTTATTTGCCATGTCTGCTCTGTCTAAAATGGTTTTACCCTTCCATCCAGTCAGTTGTCACTACAGGGCAGTGTTTTTTTACATTTCAAGTCTCACCTGTCAAGTTCTCCCAGATATATAATTAACTTAGAATTCTACGTATAATTTTTAAAGTATGAATTTATTTTAAATGAACAAGTATACATAAAACATAGCTCATCCCTTGTTGTGTACTGCAACTTTTTTCCTGTTGAAGGCCTAGTCTTCAATGTGATAGTATTTGTGGATAAAGCTTCTTGGATGTAAATAGGTTTAAATTAGGTTAAGAAAGTAGAGTCCTTCTAGTAAGATTAGCATCCTTATAAATAAGAGGAAGAGAATAGACTGTGGTGTCTCTGTGTCTGTCTGTCTTCTATCTTTCCATCTTCCCCATAATGCTATGAAAGAGCCAGAAGGAAGGTAGCCATCTGCAAACCAGGAACAGGTCCTCCTCAGCACTGAAGATGTTGGCTGTTTGATCTTGGATTTTCTAGTCTCCAGAACTGTAAAAAGTAAATGTTTAAGCCACTCAGGCTATAGTATTTCATTACAGTAGCCCAAACCAAGACAGCCCTGTAAAAATTATTTAAAAATCTGAAGT